GTATAATACTTATTGTGAAATGTTTGATAGTGTTCCAAAGAATGAGAGTAGAGATGGCAAAAGTTACCCTCCTATCATTCTGATCCCTGAAGATAAGAAAACATATTAATATTTTGGTTTATATTTTTTGCTATACAACACAAAACATAGAAATTTAAACGGTGTAAAACAACTTTATAAACAAAAAATGGATTATTTATATCTTCTTTTTAGCCCAGCTTGCTATTTCCAATTAATGTATGCTTTAACATTTTTCTTGTCACTTGTAACATCCTGCCTTATTCTAAAAATATATATACTATTTCATTGTGTGATAGAAAATGATTTATCCAGTGTCCTATTAATAGACGTATTGATTTATTCAGGTTTTTAAGTGCTTGTTACAACAGTGTTATATGGATAAACATTCGGCCATATTATAGTATGTTTGCTATAATTTTTCACCTCTACAAAATGGATTTAAAATCTTTTGGTAATTATACCTAATTTATTTAGGATGAGAAAGCAAATGCAATAAATATGCTGAATGAACTTGCAAAATGGGAGCTGAAATGAGAACAGAACAAAGTGAAGAATTGCTGAAAAATGTAAAATTGAACTAGCTTGAAGTACAGCGACATATTAATAAAGTAAATTGGTAATGTGTTTGGCTTTTTATTTAGTTCCTTTTGCCCTGAAAAGTGATCATTATCCTCCTGTCCTCTTGTTCATTTTGAAACAAACATGAATGCTTATGTAAAATTATTAGGATTGCTTGAGTCCAGGAGTTTGAGATCAGCCTGGGCAACATAGGGAGATGCCCACTCCCCCACCAGTCTCTAAAAAATAAAAATAAATAAATAAAAAGAATTATTTTAGGGCTTTGACTTTTTTTGTAGTACAATAATATGTCATCAGTAATTTTAAAAATTTGGCTAGAGTTTTACCATTTGTCACCAAAGTATGTGACTGTGATCCTAAATGAAATACTGTAAAAGCAAGTGATGTAATCTTAACTAATGAAAATTATTTTTGCCAATATAATGTTAGGCAACAGACAAGCCCAAATAACACCTCAATACTGGTAACTGTACAGAATGATTACGAGAAGGTCCAAAGGTGCTGTGGCCTCCAACCCAGTTAAATCCCCCAGCACCTGCTTGCGGAGCGCCCGGAGCTGGCCACGCCCAACTCCACGACAGGCTCACGGAGTTTTGAGACCCCAGCCTGGCAATGTAACGTGAAACCTGTCTCCCTACTCGCCAAGAACTCACAAAAAAGTTTAACTAGCGCAGCCGTCCCGGGTGGTGGGCCACCCTGTAAAAAAAATCCCCCAAGCTACTCGGGCGAAAGCTCGAAGCGGCGAACGATCCAATTGACCTCAAGAGGCCCACCGAGGTGTGCAGTGAGCCCAAGAAATCATGCATTACACTCAGCCCGGGTTCTGGCACATGCAAGACTCCCTCCTTAAAATAAATACAACTAAATAATAAATAAATAAACTAAAAATGTTAAACCTAAACAAACAAAAAAATCAGGCGTTCTGCTACCTTAAATCCAAGTAGAAAGTATCACCTCATTTCTTTACTAAGGCAAAATATAACATTTCTAATATATTGTCTCTAACGCAAACTGTACTATACGATAACTACGTTTACAACCATTTTTTTTTTTTCGACTGAAACGACACCCCGGAATCTCTACAATGGCTTCAAATATCATCAGCTGATCTCTCACCTGTCTCTCCCACACTCCTCTCACACACTCTCACACACCTCTCACTCTCACTCTCTTTCCGCTGTCAGAGGCCTGAGATGTAGGACATTACAGACTAAGATACATTAGCTTATTATTTCTGTGACCCTTGTGGATATTCTTTTCAGTAACTGGCAACTTCCTTAACTATTAAGTGTGAATCATGAATTCATATGAAAAGATTTTTTTGCATATTGACTAGGAAAATGATTTAGTAAATGTTTACTGAAGCCTATTTTACATAAAGTACTATGTTAGATATTATGTGGGCAATCACATAAGGCACAGTGGTATGCTTAAGGAGTTTATAATCTAGTAGATTGCTAGAAGTGTAATGGTAGTGTGCACAAAATTTTCACACCACCGTAGGTAATCATCTGTAAACCATGGGAAGCTGAACAGATAATTTTATTTCATTAATGTTAAAAGTAAGCATTGAGATCAAACAGCGTATCTAAAATTATGTAGCTGGTAAATGTGTTTGGCTTTTTATTTAGTTCCTTTTGCCCTATTTTGTACTATTTTGACATGGATTAACACTGACCAGACAAGGCAAAATGTGATAAAGCTCCACATGAATAATAAGTTTAATTGCCTTAGACTTGTTTCCAATCAAATATTTAGGGGGAAGACATTATGGAATAACTACACCTTTGAAAGAACAAACTGGAGGGGAGGAGAAGCAGAGCTAGGGAAAGGAAGCAGCAGCATTCTATGTAGATGGAAGAGCATTAAGACATATTTGGAGTTGAGAAATGGAGCACGTAGTCTGTGAACTGTGAGCAGTCTTGATCATTAGGACTTGTGTCTGTAATAGAGTAGCTTAGGCTTGAATGATAGCTTGAAGCCAGGTTTTAGGCCTAAAATGGAATTTCGGTGCTAGTTCTATTAAGAATTTTCTAGGAGAAAAGAGACCCAATCACAGTCTTTTTGAAAATAATTTGGCAGTATTGAAGAGGATTTAGAGGTGGGAAGGGTTTGAAGGTGAGGAAATCAGGTAGAAATATTCTTAAAATGAATTGATAAAGACCACCTCCTTTTGGGTACCTTCCCTGATCACCTGCCATTGAATGGATTATATATTTACTAGAGAAAGCTGTGAAAGACATGTTTAGGGAAGAACCATTGAAGAATGATTTTATTTGTATTTGTATCCATTAATGCTTAAACTGTAATAGGTGATCAGTGGGTGACTGCTGAATGAATGAATGATTTAGAGACTGAAAGTGTTGGAGAATGGAGAAACAGGAAAAGGGAAAAGTATTACAATATAGTTTCTCAGCTTTAGTCACAGTGTAGTCTGAGATTGAGTTCTGTTAACAGAAGTATGAAAGTAGGCTTGAGACATTAACTATCAATGTAAAAGGCAGATTTGGAACTTGGGAAAGAGAAAGTGGTACATTAGTTAATACTTGTGATTTATTCCCAGGGGGGTGATATTTGAAGGTATGGAAGAAAGTGAGTTTTCAGAGAGAATATTGAGAGAAGAGGCCAAAGAAGAAACTTTGGAGAATACTCATTTGTATTGGGAAGAAAAAAACACACAAAAAAGGGCATGGGATGATGAAAATATTCATGCAATTTCACATAAACCAAAGGAATAGTTTTAAGAACAAGGCAAGTTGGTCAATAAATGACAAATAATTCAGAGAAGTCAAAGAATTAGCTGAGGAAAATACATGGATTTAGTAATAGGAATTATTTTCATAAAGCAGTATAAACCAGATATCAAAGTTGCAAGGAGGGAGAGGTAATGAAAAAAAATAATGAAATTTCTTTCTTTATTCAGCTTCAATTGGCAGAGAAAGACAAAGAAATAAGTGGTCTGACTTCACATTTGGAAAACCTCTCCAGGGAGAAGGTATTGAGCAATGTAGTTAAAAAAATTTGTACCATATGAAACTGAGTAATAATAGAACTTTATGAAGAGACACATTTTAAAGTTCATGTGACAGTACAGTGTTCAAATTTAGGAAAACGTGAAATTTCTAAAAATTACATGAAATGTTTATCTGGTTTTCTTTTATAATAGGAAACATTTTTGAAGTTGTTTAATGACTTACAGCAAAAGCTCACAGTCAGATAGAGCAATATATTGGTAATGTAAAAGACACTATAGTGCAGCATTTCTGAGTGTGGTCTGTGGTCCTTTTGGTGGTCCCCAGTCCCCTTTCAGGGGCCTGCAAAGACATGGTTTTCATAATAATACTACCACATTATTTGATTTTCTCCATGCTGTTATATTCGCACTGTGTGAAAGCAGTGTGGAAAACTGCTTGTGTATTATTATGAATTAAGGCAGTGGCACCAAACTGCTTTAGTAGTTATTGTATTCATCACCACTGTGTGCTCACAATAGAGAAAAAAAAGCCAGTTGTACTGAAGATGTTAAAACAGTAAAATATGTTAATTTTATTGATGCTTGACCCTTGGGTACATGTCTTTTTAGTATTCTGTGTGATTAAATGGAAAGTACCCCTAAAGTTCTTTTGTTGCCTAATGAAGTATGATAGTTAATAAAGGTAAAGTGCTTGTGTGGTTGAATTGTGAGTTGAACTAGTCTCTTTTTTCATGGAAACTATTTTTACTTTAGAGAACAATTTCTATATTCAGACTTGGGTATTTGGCAGATATTTTCTCAAAGTGAAATGAAATGAGCCTGTTATTTTAAGGAAAAACAATTGATAATATTTTTCACCATTGATAATATTTAAGCTTTTAAGCAAAAACTAGAATTTTGAAAAAATTGTTATCTTCCACTGTGAGCTTGATGCTTTCCAATGTTTATAAACTTTTCTAATGAGATGGGTGTAATATTTAGACTGTATTTTTTTTGTTGTATAGCAAAATTTGCCAGCATTTGGAAGATCCACATAATTCAGTGAACCAGTAGTTTTCCAAATGACCAGCTATGGCAAAATCATGTATCATAAAAGAACCATTCTAAGTGCAAGTTAGACCTCAAGGTTGTATGGGGTTATTGTAATAGTTGTGAAATTCTGATTTTTTCAACTATTACTACATTTTCCACATTTTTTCTTTGGCATTCTACTGTAAGAAAGAACCTTCCTTTGTCCTTGTTTATATATGTCTGTGTGGTATTATTCCAGTAACAATTTTCTGACGCCAAAACTGGTATTCTACAATTCAGTTCAATGCTGATACTAACTACCATGAGTTAGCGTAGACCCCACAGGTTAAGGGCTCAGTCCCACAGGACTGCTCCCACTTTAGAGGCCAATTACAAGTGAAGTCCTCAGGCTACTGATAGCAATCATTTTCTTACACTTATTCACACATAAGTACTTAATAGCAAAAATTATTATGTACCATTAATAACAGTGAAAAAATAATGTGGCACACGTGGAATTTTCTACTTGTGGCATCATGTCAATGCTCAAAAAGTTTCAGTTTGGAACATTTCAGATTTTGGATTTTTTTTATCAGGGAATGCTCATCCTGTGTATGCTTTTTCTCAACACTACTGTATTCTGAAAATCATTCCGTATATGAAGTTCATACAAATCCTCCATCTTTTTTTTAAACAGGTGTGTAGTACTCCATTGTACATACCATAATTTATTCAACCAACCTCGTATATTTGGCCATTTAGTTAGTTTCTAATATTTTACAAATAATACTACAATGAAAGATTCTATGTAGATACAGTTTTCTGGTTTTGGGGTAGTACCTTCAAGATAAATTGCTGGAAGTGTGATTGCTGGTTTGAAGGGTAAATGCATGTGTAGTTTTGTTAGAGATTGCCAGATCCCCTTTCATAGAGTTTGTATTATTTTTTGTTTCCACCAGCAATGTATGAGAAGTGGACCTGTTTCCCATATAAATTGTAATCAGGTTTTCTAATTTTTGCATATGGGATAGATTAGGAATAGTATCTTAGTGTAGTTTTAGTTTGCATCTCTATTATGAGTGAGGTTAAACATCTTATCTTTTTTGTGAGTTTTTTGGCTCATTATTCTCTGATTTTTGGTTTGTTTTACTTACCTTGTTATATATATATTTTTTTCCCCTGTTAAGAGATATTAGCCCTTTATCTGTGATATATATGTAGTAAGGATTTTCTCTCAGTTTATTTGACTTTTGACAGTGCTCACTATGCTTACTTTTACCATGTAAATGTTCTTTATTTTTGTGTAAAGTGTGGTACTGCCTTGACCAGCAGTGTCAGCACCATCTGGAAACTTGTTAGAAATCCATATTCTTTGCTGGGTGCTGTGGCTTACGCCTGTAATCTCAGCACTTTGGGAGGCTGAGGCTTGTGGATCACCCGAGGTTGGGAACTCGAGACCAGCCTGGCCAACATGGTGAAACCCCGTCTCTATTAAAAATGCAAAAATTAGCCAGGCATGGTGGCTCACGCCTGTAATCCCAGCTACTTGGGAGGCTGAGGCAAGAGAATTGCTTGAATCTGGAGGCAGAGGCTGCAGTGAGCTGAGATCGTGCCACTGCACTCCAGCCTGGGCAACAGAGTGAGACTGTATCAACAACAACAACAAAATGCATATTCTTGGGTCCTGTTCCGGCCCTGCTGAATCAGCAGCTCTGGAGATGATGCCCCAAAATATGTGTTTGACAAAAACCCTCCAAGTGTTTCTGATTTATGCTCAACTTTGAAAACCACTGATGTGTTGCATTTGAATTTTTATTTTCCATGGAAAGCATTCCCTACACCCAGGTTATAGAGGAGTTCACTTGTGTTTTGTTCTAATACTGATATAGTTTCAGTTTTTTTTTTTTTTTTTTTTTTGAGATGAAGTCTTGCTCTGTTGCCCAGGCAACAGTGCAGTGGTGTGAGCTTGGCTCACTACAACCTCTGCCTCTCGGGGTTCAAGCGATTCTCCTGCCTCAGCCTCCTGAGTAGCTGGGATTACAGGCTCCCGCCACCACACCTGTCTGATTTTTGTATTTTTAATAGAAACGGGGTTTTGCCATGTTGGCCAGGCTGTTCTCAAACTCCTGATCTCAGGTGATCCACCTGCCTCAGCCTCCCCAAGTACTGGGATTACAGGTGTGAGCCACCATGCCCAGCCAGTTTCAGTGTTTTGTTTTTTTTTTTTTTTTACATTAAAATTTCTTATCCATTTAGAATTTATTCTTAGATATCACAGAAGGAATGAATCTAAGTTTATCTCCTTCTAAATTGCTGTCTAGTTATCTCAATCCATTTATCAAAATGCCGGTTTCGTGTCAGTGATTTGAGATACTAAATTTACTGTATAATAGATTTCCATGTGCAGTTGGGTCTCTTTCTGTACTTTGAGTACTGTTCCATTGATCTGTCTGCTCATATGGTAGTACCATGATGTTTTAATTGTAAGAACTTTGTAGTCTATTTTAATATTTGGTTGGGTTAGTCCTTTCTCATAACTCTTTGTTTTCAGTGTTTTCTGGCTTTTTTCTCTTGAAGGGTTAGTTTTCCGTATCAATTTTAATACCAACTTTTCTAGCTCTAGAAATGATTGTTGGTATTTTTATTGATATTGCATTAAGTATATACATTAACTTAGGGATAACTAACATCTTGGTGATATTTCTACTTTTTAATAAAGAATAGGCAATATGGGATGTGTCGTTCAAATCTGTTTTGTGTCTTTCAGGAATTTTAAATAATTTTCTTCCTATGGGTTTGGAAGAATTCTTCTTCAAGTTTATTCCTAAGTATTTTTGTTTTTCCTTTTGAAAATGGGATTTTCTCTTTCATTGTATGTTGTAACTGGTTATTGTTTTTGAATGTGGGGCTCTTGAACTTTTTGTAGCTTTTAATTTTTATGTAATTTCAAACTCAAGTTGAAAAAATAGTATAGTGAACTCTCATATATATTCTTTCACCACCATTTGACAGTAACTGGAGGTGAAGACATAAGAGTCCCTGCATATTGTATCCTCAGTACAAGGATGTTCTTTCAGCCATGTTACAGTTAACAGATTTAGGAAGTTTAACACTGACACAGTATTATCATCTAACCTACAATACATATTAAAATCGTATCCTTAATACTTTGTTTATTGTTTATAGTCTTTTCTTCCCTGATCTAGGATCTAATCCATGATCATACATTGCATTTAGTTATCATGTGTTTAGTTTTCCTTTATCTGGAACAACTTTATAGCCTTTCTTAACCTTGACATTTTTGAAAAATATGGGCCAGTTATTTAATATAATATTGATTTTGATTTAATATTTCATCATGATGAAACTTAGGTTATGAATTTTGCCAGGAATGCTACAGAATTTAAATATCCTTCTCAATACTGGTAATCTTTCATTATTTGGTTAAGGTATTGTCCACCAGGTTTTACTGATGTAACATTAATATTTTCCCTTTGTAATTAATAAGTAATTTGTAGGGAGATACTTTGAGACCATGTAAATATCTTATTCTTTATCAAACTTTCACCTGGTATTTTAATATCTATTAATGATCTTCTAACTCCATCATTCCTTCTATATTGATTAGAATTTTTCTGTAAGAAAGAGCTATCTTTTCTTTCCCCCTAATTTGTTTGTTTATTCATTGATTTTTATCATTGTAGACTCATGGATTCCTGTTTTATTCAGTGGGTTACAGTCTATTTTTATAATCATTTTGATACTCAGCTTGTATCAGATTTAACTAATAAGAGCCCCTGCAAACTAGCTCTTGTGGCTTTTTATTATGTCTTTCATTATTCTTTGAGCACTTATTACTTTCTGGTGCAGAAAGATGTTCTAGGCTCATCTTATTATTTTCCTGCCCCAGCCTGGAATCAGTCTTTTGTCCAAGGAGCCCTGTTCCATTTACTGGTGAATGTAGTTTAGAAACCAAGATCTGGGCTGTAGGTGTGCCCTCATTGATTCAT